CTACTATGTATGTAGTGGCCTCGAGCCGGTCTCGACCCGAGTCCTCGAGTCCGGAGGGCTCGAGTCCGGAGGGCTCGAGTCCGAGTCCGAGTCCGAGTCATTGCACTCCGAGGCCGAGACCGAGACCGAGACCAAGGAAAACGGTCTCGAGACAGGTCTCGAGACCAAGACCGGTCTCGTGACCTACAACACTGACGCACACACACACACAAATGCGCACACATGTATAGTGGGATGTATATGTATGTATATATTTGTCTTCCTGATATATATATCTCCCTAGGCGTATATTATATATAAGTCGTGTATTTTGGCAAGACCTGCGCAAGGGAATTCAGCAGCCTATACTACTTGCCAGCTTGCTATGCCACCTTGTAGATGGAATCACTAGGGCCAGTACGGGGTATACTTATACGAATAACCTCTGGTCTTTATAAACAGCTACACGTGAGCTAGCTATTAAACTCCAAGAATTTCACGCTGAGAATGTGCTAAACCTATATACAGGAAGCCTCACGCTGCTGCCTAGATCACCACCACTGGAAACAGATGTTCCATTGCACGACCGCCACGAAAACATCTTCGGAGAGACCATGGTAAATGGAGCGTGGAGTCAATGGTCAACAGACCATGCAGCATCGAAGCCAGTTTAATATCTCTTCTGATGCTTCCAAGCAGGGCATTTAATTCATGCCGGACCATTGGCCATAAAGGGTAGAAATATATTTGAGTGGGCAAATGTTGGCTGCTATTGGGACTGTGGGCTGATGACGGATGACGATAAGATTTTCACCTCCATTACTTAGTAATTAAACCAATAAGTATCTCAGTAATTTTATATCTGGTAATTTTGGTATTTGGTAAACATTTTTTTGCTGTGGTAAATTTTAATTTTCCAGTCTCCCACACCACTGTTCTGGTGTAAATATTCCCCCAATTTTACGCCTTTACGCACAAGCACAGAATTGATCATCGTCGCTCACTATCAAGTCGTACGTGGATAATTTTCAACAAAGCAGCAGTTCGCCGAATCAACCATCGTTTACCACACTATCCATGCTGAAATTCAAGAAAACTCGCTTGAATCTCAAGCCCATCTGTCTTTTTTTTTCATCATACAGTGTGTTGTCTATGCATTAATTCGCCACCACTCGTGGTTGCTTTCTCCTAGCGAGCAGCATGCTTTCAATATATCACAGCAACCAGCGAAATCTGCTGGCAGGAAAAACTACCGTTTAAACACGCTAGGTGTGTGCAGAGGAAAACAGGCACATCATGCATCACGACGAGCAATGCGGGTGAAGCCGTGCTTGGAAACGCTTCATTCTGGCAGCCGATAAGGTCATCTTTACTCTTCAAGCGATCTACGCCCCGATTTAAATATAAATATAACGTTTATGCTGTATATAACCTTTCAAACAGCATTTATATAGGCGGCTAATGTATGCAGTGCATGTTCAACACACAATATACACTAACTAATAAATTATATATGATTTATATGAGTCTCTCTCACTCGCCTCTGGTTTAAGTATGAATATAACGTTTTCTCTATACAAATAAGGGTTTAAGCAGCAGTTATATCGTAGATTGGTGTACGTATGCATGTGTCCATGATATAATTTATATTGA